GTTACTGAAAATTCTTGCTCCTGCACGCGTGGTCCTGCCCGGCGCTCGCACCCGCTGCTGGCCCCAATCATTGGCGCCATCAGCAGGTGCAAGCGGCAGCTACCAGCCCTGATCATCCCTGAGGGCTTCTCCACCTCCCCCTGCTCCTGAGGGGCAATCAGGGCAGCAGCCGCTGCTCGCACCCACTGACGGCGCTGGCCCCACTCACACCCACTGCTGGTGCTGGCCCCAATTGCTCCACGCCATCAGTGGGTGTGAGCGGGGCTGGCGCTGTCAGTGTGTGGGAGTGGCTATGGCGGGAGCGAGGCTGCTGGCAGACAGGGTCAGGGGCCATGGTGGGGGGGCTAGGCGGGGGTGTGGAGGATGGAGGATGGGCTGAGACCCACCCCTATGCCCACCACAGCCTCGCGGCCCACAGTACCTTTCAAGGTGCATGAATTTGTGCACTGAGCCCCTAGTCCTATATAATAAAAGGGTAATATGCAAATCGATCGAACAGCGGAAAGACTGGTTGCTATGACATGTGCTAACCACCAGGGGGCAGACGCTCAACGCAGGAGCTGCCCCCTGGTGGTCAGTGCGCTCCCACAGGGGGAGTGCCGTTCAGCCAGAACCCGGGCTCATGGATCATGGCTCATGGCTCACGGCTGGCGAGTGCAGTGGCGATGGTGAGAGCCTCTCCCACCTCTGCGGCACCACTAAGGACGTCAATCGGACATCCCCCGAGGGCTCCTGGACTGCAAGAGGACGCAGGCTGGGCTGAGAGACCGTCCTGAGTGCACGAATCTTGTGCACTGGGCCTCTAGTCTCCAAATAAAATTACATTTCATGGTAATATGAGATAATGCCACCAAAAAGTTTCAAATCAAGTCACTGGATATGGTCACTCCAAGATGCTGATGGTGGCTGTCCTGTGGAGTCAGGATGCCAGCGCTGGGGCCACAGAGTCCCTCCCCAAATACAGGGCAGACCCCAAGTGGAAAACTGGAGAGCGGATTCTCGGTCCTGTCTCTAGCCATCTGGGGTGGCAGCAGGGCGTGGAGGTGAGAGCCTGACCCCACAGTGCACTCAGCGTGTGCTTTGCACTCAAGTTTTCACCTTCCTGGTTTCTCGGTGTGTTTAATGAGGGAATTGAACTAGATGATTCTAATTTCTTTTATTGTCCCTGAGGAGTGTTTTGGACACATGGAAGGACATTTTTGTTGTCACAGGATGTGAGTGGAGGGATCTATGAGATGTGAGCCAACGGCTTATTTGTGCTCCCTCCTGTCTCGGGCTCCTCTCCATCCATGTAGCCAGTGGCACCCTGACACTCCCCTCAGCCCTAGGCCTACCTGACCTCTGTGGCAGGGGACCTCAGTCGGTCTCTGCTTTCCCAACCACCCCGCCCCTTGGTCCTTCTCAGCCTCTCCAGGGCTCCTTGGCCTCTGTCCATGCCTGAGGTCTGGTGTTCTCCTGCGTTCACTCAGGGCTCTCTTCTCTCTTGCCACGGACTCTCCCCGAGTGAGATGTCACCTTTGTCCCGGTGCTGCTCCCTTCCTGCCACATCCCAGCCCAGGAGTCTCTCCTGAGGCCCGGCCCCACATATACTACTGCTTACCAGGCCTCTCTACTAGGGTCCCACAGACCCACCCCCCTCCACACGTTCAAAACGTGACTCATCTCCTTTCTCCAACCCTTTGCAGCCCTCCTCCTTGTAGTATAAGTGGCTCGACTGCCTGCCAAGAGTCCAGACAAGAACCTGGGGGCCATCCTTGCCTTCTTTTTCACCTCACCTCCCACATCTGATGGTGCATCACATTGTCGACTGAGCTTCTTTGGTATCTTCAAATGCCTCTGCCATTCTCTGCCTCACTGACACCACCTTAGAACAGACTCTCCTCATTTCTCACCCGGACGATAGTCTGTTTCCTCACTCCTCTCTCTACTCCAGCTTCCATTCTGTATTCCGCTGGGCTGAGAGCTGGCTTTGATGGTGCTACTCCTTTGTAAGAACTGGCTTTTCTACATTTACCTTTCTATGTTTAAATTACAAACTGATACTGTTAGTTCCTGATTTTATTTGCTTTTACCTTCCTATTTTGAAAGGTGAGGATTTAAATCTCTTCTCCATTTATTTCTACCTTCCCATTTGGTTCTATTTTACATCAAACTTCCTGTAATTTAGATACCATTCATAGCTGAGTCATGGACATTCCATCACTTCCATGACTGCACTTCCTTTCATATTCATCTTGCTTTCCCAGAGTTAAACACTGCCTTGTTTTGGTTAGTTTTCTATCTGTCACTAATGCACTCCCAAAGTTCCTAGCAGAATATATGAAGTTCTTCTCAATAGTTTCAAACTCATCAACTAACGGTCCACTTCACCTTTCTTTCTTTCTTTCCTCTGGGAGCACTCTGCCCTGGCTTGTGTCTGTGTGTGCTTCCCTCTAGGCCTGCTCTGGGCTGTCCTCCCAGCTCTCCCTGCAAACTTGTCCCTCTGCTCCTGGGCCCACCTCCTGTGTCTCGGCTCTCATGGCTTCCTCTTTCTTCACTTATTCCCCATTTCAGTGGACCATTTTGTCCAGCACAGGTGCCAGCAAACCACCTCGAAGGGCTAGAGAATAAAGGGCCAAAAGCAAAACAGATCCAGGTATTTATATAACTTCTAGAGGCCCGATGCACGAAATTCATGCAAGAGTAGGCCTTCCTTCCCCCGGCTGCCGGCGCCAGCTTCCCTCTGGCACCCGGGACCCGGGCTTCCCTTGCAGCCCTGGCTTTGTCCAGAAGGTTGTCCGGTCTAATTAGCATATTACACTTTTATTATAGAAGATTTAAAATGTAACCATTAAAAAAGAGTAAAAATGCTCTTAGTTTGTGGGTTATAAAATATAGGCAGCAGGTTGGACTTGGCCTGGGGGAGCCTCAGCTGGCTGACTCCTGATCTCGCAGCTGCCTAAGGACTGGAACATGTTGAGACCTAACATGTCTTACAATGACTTTATTCCACCCGCACACTTGATTGATGCTTTGACTGGATTCAGAACTCTATGTCAGAAATCATTCACCTGGAGAATTCAAAGGCACCGTGCCACTTGTTGTTTAGCTCTTGGTGTTGCTATTTAGAAAACTAGTACATTCCTAAAGGCCTGGTTTTCTCTCTGGAAGCTTTTAAGATCTTTGCTTCATGACCAGTCTCCAGTCACGGCCACAGGCCTCGGAGTTTCCACTACCTTAGTCCCTCTATTGCCTAGGAGGGCTTGTGGGTGGGTGGGAGGCCAGAGGCAGAGAAAATGGAGAGGAGCACCTGGTCCAAGGGGCTGCAAGGAAAGGGAGCATCAAGGATGAGACAGATCTGGGGCCAGGGAGACAGGGCGGAAGTGGAGAAGTCAGGACTTGCTTCTGGGGTGAGAGGTCAGTAGGCCCCTTGCTTTGGAGCCAGCATTTCTAAGTTCTGGCCTCTTTAAGGTTAAGAAGAGTTACCTTCCAGGTGGAGAGACCCAAGAAGGCTAGCACAGCCATGAGTGGCAGACCCGCTGCAGGCCAGTGACTCTCGAGAGAATGGTCCTGTCCTCCAGCCCTCTGCCCCTCTGGCTTCTCTGCCACCTGACCCGACCTCCAGGTCACCTGACCAGCTGTGCTTAATCCTTGCCTGCTCTCCCTCTTGCCTGTATGACAGTCTTGGCCCCTAATTACCAGCAACCTTCACCCGTCTTCAGACTTTGCTTAGACTTCAGCTCCTCTCGTTGGGTTATGACCATTTGACAGAGCTATTTTTATGTGGAGAAGTTTGTTTTTGTTTGTTTGTTTTTTAACAAAAATGAAACAAACAAAAACCCAAAGGATGGCTGGAACCTAACTTCTTCACCCACCCATGAGCCTCAGCCCATCTCTGACCTCCCTCCTGAGTTAAGTTAGTAGTTCTAATAGTTGTGTGTGTGTGGTATGTAGAGGTTTCTATATATATCTATTTATCTGCAAATAATGAGAGTTGTACTTCTTCCTTTCCAATTTGAATGCCTCTTCTCTCTTT